ATCCACTTGCCTTGGCCTCCCAAAGTGCTGGGATTACAGGCTGAGTCACTGAACCCGGCTATGGTTAGATAGTAAAAGCACAATTTTGAGTTAAAAAGAGATGTTTCAGAACATGCACAGTGTGATAAAATGCGCGTAAAATTTAAAAACACACGTGTGCATATTGATTATAAATGATATATATACAAAAGCATAAACACGTGGCATGTGGCCCCTGGAAGGTGGGGGAATGGTATGAGGAAGGAGAGGAATACAAGAGAACTTTATCTACAATATTCCACTGGTTTCATATAAAGAAGAAAAAGTATATGGAGCAAAAATGCTAAAATATTAAATTTCCTGTATTTAACTTTTTTTTTGGAATCCAAGCAAGTGGCTCACATCTATAATCCCAGCACTTTGGGAGACCAAGGTGGGAGGATTACTTGAGCGCCCAGGAGTTGGAGACAGTTTGGGTAACATAGTGAGACCTGTCTCTACAAAAAAAAATTGTTTTGTTAGCTGGATGTGATGGCATGCACGTGTAGTCCCAGCCTTCTGCTGAGGCAAGGATTATCTGAACCCAGGAAGTAGAGGCTGTAGTGAACAGCCTGGATTTTGCAGGCATCCAGTGAAGAAAGACTGTAGGCTTTTCTGCAATTACATATGAAGTGTATATCATACGCGTGTCCTAGAAGGAATTCTAGGGTGCTGGTATTCCTGTCGTGATATGCCTTTCCGATGCTAGTAGCCTTGCTAGAGCAAGCCTAGTGAAAGTTTTAAGAATAAAGGTGCACATCTCTACATGATTAATAGTATGTAAATGTGCTCTCTAAGGCCACTTGGTCTTGAACATACAAAGCCAAGACAACATACAGACACATACACACTCTCTCTCTCTCTCTCTCTCTCTCTCTCACACACACACACACACACACACACACCTCCCCATAATTACTATGTTGGCTTACAGATCAGGGGTTAGCAGCCTTGGCACGGAGACGCCTGACAGGCACCCAAAGCAATTAGTGGTGTCCCTGCACCACCCCCTACACCTTCAGGGCTTTACACTTGCTGCCCCTCACCCTTCGCTACGTTTAGGCCTTGACTCAAATGCCACTCCAAGGCTTGCCTGGCCATTTCCAGGGCTCCTGATCTGCTCACCTGCTTTATATTTATTTAGAGAACTTTTCAGCCCTGGGCATTAGGCTAAACATTTATTGGCTATGCATCTACCATCCCAGACTCCAGGATCACAACCTCATGCCCAGAGCTGGGCAGTGCCTGGCTTGCCGCTGGTTCCCTGTCAGTAGGTGGAACAAATGAATGAAGAATGAATGAATGATCGCCTTCTCTCTCCTCCAGCCCCATCCTTTCCTGGCCTGCCCTATCTCCCCGGCCTCTACCTTAGACCTGCTGCAGGACTAATCCTGAGAGATTGTCAGGCTAGGAAGGCATGTACTCTGGGCTCCTCTCTGTCCACCTCCCTTCCCTCCTCCCCCATGGGTACCTACTCGCCCACCTGCAGCTGCCCACTGCCAGCTCTGGCCTTCTTGGTGGACAGGATCCAAGCTCAGGCACTCCGGAGGATTGTGGGAAAAGTGGGCATCAGGTGGCGGAGCAGTGGTAAGCCAGGAGTCGGTTCATGCTGAGGAATGAAGGGTTGAGTCTCTCACACCCACCCACGGTCATGCATTCTCAGGGCTCGGTCTCCAAAGCAGAGCGTCATTCAGGCACCCCTCAGCACCCATGACCCTGCTCCTCACCTGTCTCGCAGGAGGGGACGCCGCCGTCGGGACTTCTCTCCTCGTCATTCGTAGCCTGGTCTCTCGTAGCCTGGTCTCTCCTGCCGTGATAGACAGCGTCTAACTCCACCCCCTGGCCCACTCTGCGCCCCTTTCTGACTTTGGCATCCTTGCGTGTTCGTCGTGGAGAGAGAGGGCCTGCCACGAGCTGGCCATGCAGCATCACCCCGCCCCTCCTCACCTGGCTGCTCCCCCCACTTTCCTCCTCCTGCTCCTCTCTCCCATCCCCTCCACATCCTAGCCACCTCACAAGCTCAATTCTCGCTTTCTGGAACCCCACGAGTGCTCTGCTCCCCTGAAGCCCCCCACCCCTTGGGTCTCTCCATGCTGGTGGCAGGCGGTCATAGGCTCCCCCGCCACTGAATTCCCCAGCAAGATGCTAGTGCTTTAGAGCAGGAGCCGTGTTATCCTCAAAGGCCTATTACCGAATGATCTGGACAAACAGCCCCATCTCACCATCATGCAGACTTCCCAGCCCATCTCCCGAGAGGGAATCCTGGACAAATGGAACACATGTGCAACTGTAGCGCGTGTTCGGCACCTGCTGTATGTCAGGTTCTAGGGGCAACCTGGTGAGCAGCGGAAGACAAGTGTCCCTGCTTTCCTGGGTCTCATAGTTGAGGCGGGGGAGGGGCAGAGGGAAATGGACGACTGGGCCCCCCAGGTGTTCTATGGGAAGACGCGTCCCTGAGTAGCATGGGGACCCTATCATGTATTGCCTACATTGGGACATTTCTGAGTAAAAGTGGGAGCTATGGGCCGATAGGTGTCAAGGGGCACCGTCCTGGGCAAACCGGGCATCAACGAAGAGGAATATTCCCCTGCCCGCCCTCGGGGTGAAAGAGGACAGAGGGCGAAACCCAAGATTGGGGCGGGGTGTGGCAGGAAGGACCATGCTCAATGGTCAGGGAGCTGGAGCACGGACAGGGGCAGGTTTATGTCAGGGGCAGGTGGGAGGGGCGGGTGTGGGCATTACTGTGACTCTGAGCTTGGCTCACACGCAGGTGGCTTTTGCAGGCACGCCACTCTCCCTCCTGGCTCCAGGTCCTGCACAAGTCCTGGGGCCCTGGGACCCCTTTGAGTGTCTTTTGTTTCACCCCCATGTCAAGGAGGCCTGATGTATATTTGTAGTATAGGTACAATCCCACAGGGGGCGGGGAGAGAGAGAGAGAGAGAGAAAGGGACCTATTTGTTTTGGTCCCTCTGTCTGTCTGTCTGTCTAGCTGGCTCTCAGACTACTAATACAGGCTCTGAGTCTGGGTGTACCCCCAGAGCATGTTCTCCCCACAGCAAAAGGCCACCCCTCCCAGCTAAGCAAGTTGTTTGTTCCATTTCTGATCGGCGCCAGGCTCATAGACCCCATGTAGGTAGAATATAACTTTCCATAAATAACCTCTAACCCGACCTACAATTTAGGCTTCGAGTTTTTTCTCCCCCTCGTGATGATGGGATCACAGCCTGGGCTGATCAGCCCCATGTCTCCGGGTCCCAGAATGCAGACCCTAGTTTTGGGCATTGCTTGGAATTCCAGGTGCCCCCGGGCTGCCGGCACATGGTGAGGACCGGGTGGGTGCATGTTGAGGAATGGTGGCTTCTCCTCCACCCATTGTCAGCCATGCCCTGGCAGCCTGTGCTTGGGCTGTGCCCTCTGCCTGGAAGCCCCTTCTGTGCCTGGCAAATCTCTGACCAGCACCCATCTCTGTGGAACCCTCTCTAACCATCATCCCTCGGCCCCTCCACAGAGCACATTGCTCCTGACTTCGGTCCTACAGAACTTTGCACAGAACGCTGTGGCCTAAAGCTGAACCCAGGTCTGGCTGTGGGCAAAACACTTAACCCCTTGCTGCCTCCGTCTCCTCAAGTTCAAACAGAAACTTGGCCCCAGAGCCCGTGTCCCCACTCGCTGGACCACATTGCCTCTCGGGGCTGGACGGCGTCTCTGTTTCCTCCCTGCTCTCGAGTTTTGGGCTCTGGACACTCCTCACGGTGCTGGATTCTCTGCAGGTTCCTGTGGAGTCCCCTTAAAGCCTAACCCGGGAGGGATGAGTCAGCAACACCCACTGACACTTGTCAAAGGCTTATTGATGATGATAATGAACTTAGGGAGTTAAACTGAGAAGCCACCAGAATGAGGCAGCTTATTTGGGGGAGTGGGCTCCTCCAAGATAGGCTGGACTTAAATCATTAATTTTTGGGGGGGAGGTCAGGGGTCTCACTCTGTTGCTCAGGCTGAAATGCAGTTGCACGGTCAGCTCACCACAGCCTCAACCTCCTGGACTCAGGCAATTCTCCCATTTCAGTCTCTCGAGCAGCTGGGACTACAGACGCGTGCCACCACACTGGCTAATTTTTTGACTTTTTGTAGAGTTGAGGTCTCGCTATGTTGCCCGGGCTGGTCTCAAACTCCTAGGATCAAGCAATCCTTCTGTTGGTCTCCCAAAGTGCTGGGATTACAGGCATGAGCTGCAGCACCCAGATGCCTGAACTTAATGTAACTTTCCAGGTGACCCTCCCTCCTATGGCACCTGAGAGTAGTTACTGAGCCCCAGCTAGTGTCCAGCCCTGTTAGGCATCACCAGGAGGTAAGATTTTGAGTGGAGTTCAGGATCTTACATTTTTACCAGGGAGGCATACAATCCACATTTGGCAGAAAGCTTGACCGGACTCCCTGGGAGCTGGTCCTATATTGCCCTTGGCTTTATGTCTATCACTGTACTGAGCAGGGTACGGCCAGGCTAGACGGGTCCTCCACCAGTGAATGGCAAATGGAAGGTGTAGGATTCAGAACCAAAGTAGAGGTGTGAATTATAAGGGGCTGGGACATGAGAGAGAGGGATCATGGGAGATTGGAACACTTCTGGAAGTCTCAGGGAAGAGTTGAGAAGTACCATGAACCCCAAAGAAAGGGTAGGAACTTTTGGGGGTGCTAGGTGGGGACAGCCAGTCAAGGAAGCAGGGGTCAGCATGACCATTTGGAGTCAGTAAGGATGTGTGGCAGAGGGGGAGATGGGAACCAAAGATGTCAGACTGAGAAGGCTGCCCTTGATCTTGAGCAAGGAGGAGTGATTGACGGTTCCTGACCAGTGATGTGAACGGCATTTTGGGATTTCAGCGGCAAGGGCCGGCTGCTGAAGGGAGACCAGGCTGGAGTCATGACAACGTTCTGGGTGAGGGAATGTGGTCTGGGTTTGGAAAGGAAGGGATAAGCATGACTTTTCAAAGGAAGACATAATTGCTGCAAGGGCCACCGAAAAGCAGTCAGAGGTGCCTCCGAGCCTGGAGCCCCAGTGACCAGGAGAAGGGTGTGAACCTTGACAAGAAATGACATTGTGTAAGCGGTTAACAAGATGAGACCACATCCTCTCGGGGATGATCCATTGTCTTTATTGACAGTGTCTCTGGGTGCTGAAGGAACAGACTATTATTTCATAAAGCAATATTAACATTGTCATTCTCTACAAGAAAAACTTTTGCATAAATAACTTAAGTGAGAAAATAAATATATGTAGCTTAACTCTTTAAAAACCATGGCTTCCATTCTTGTGGATAAGGATTGCAGGAAACCAAGCAGTCCTGCAGGCTCCCAGACGGCCCTGTGCTCCCGGTTCAAACATTTTCCCTCTTAACGACTGAAAACTACACAGAAAGTAAGAGGCGTCTGGAAGTGATTTTCGGAAGGATGTTGGGTGGCAGCTATCATGCCTTGCAGTGTCTCAGCATATGTACAGCACCTGTAGTTTTTCTCTCAATAGTATTCTTTTAATGTAAGAGATCATCACCTATGAGAGCGCTAAGAAGCGGCTTCCTAGGCAGAAATGTGCCTGTGAGTGCTGGGTGCCAGGAGGTGCCTGGAAGAGCTCCTTTGTGTGGTGGCTGCTCCCTTGGGCCTGTGAGGCCAGAGTCCTGGGACCTTGAACTTCTCTTCGGAAGGTGACTTTAACATATGGCCACAGACGGGGGGAGAGATGCTGCTTTTTCGGGGGGGGGGGGATTTCTGTCCCTCTCACTGCCCTTGGGACCCTCTCCTCTCTACCCTTAATGAATTGTGTTCTTTCTTTGAGATGGAGGGTGGAGATGGCCAAACATCTGGGGAGGCTGGGCTGGGAACAACACAGCTTCTTCCAGGAGTTTGCCAACCATAAATATATCAGCCATAAATAGACTTCTTTTTTTCTTGCTTGTTTCTCATCTTTGGCTGTCAGATCAGAGCATCACAACTCTGAATTCTGGAAGTGACCTTGGCAGTGAATCAGCTCAACCTCTCTCTCTCTCTCTCTCTCTCTCTCTCTCTCTCTCTCTCTCTCTCTCCCTCCCTCCCTCCCTCTCTCCCTCTCTCTCATCTGCCCATTGAAAATGCACCCAAGTCCTTGTAATTATATGACAGCAGATTCTTTGAGATCCTAATCCCACCTTCACCCCCATTTTACAAAAAGGAAATGGAGATCCCAAAAGAGAATCTTGTAACCCAAGGTCACACAGCAAGTTAGTGGCATATACTAGACGCCGTATCTACAGACCCCCAGTCCCGTGTTTCCAGACACACACAGGCTTGGCGATGGGCAGAGGGGTGTAGGGGGAAGCTTAGGGAGCTGGACCAGTCCCCGGTCTCTTCACTCCTTTCAAATCCCAGGGCAGTGAAAATGCTCCCATGTCTGCCTCCTCCGAAGCAGGACCAGCAAAGGTGGGCGGCCCGGTGGGCGGGTGGGACTGT